ACATTCAATTGTTCACATGCTTGAGTATTGAATGCTCGTTTCAAATATTTTTCCCCATCTTTTGTCTCTGCTTCAATAACCAAATTAGGTGCTGATCCATCAAGAGGAGCAGGGTTGCAATATTTTCAGCAGATCATATCTGTAGTGCGATGATTGATGTAATGATATGCATCAACCATAAGTCGGCTAGTCTTGCACAATTCATCCCAGCTTCCATTTTGAATGCTTGTTCTAAGAACCAGACATGCCTTATCAATGCATATATAATCCGGTCTTGTACTTTCATCTGGAAATGTATCTTCCATAAACTTTAGAATGTTTGTTGGTGACTCAGCTTTTGCAAACTTGACCCATGCAATGACAACACCACAAGGTGCACAAATTGTTTCCACACAATAATAGCGCTTTGGACTGAAGTAGTTTTTATTTTCTACTTCAGGAGCTTCCTCATCATGAGGTTGAACATTTCTGGGAACTTCTGGATTCCAGGCAAGATTTTCATTTGGTTGATTTAGCATTCGTCGTACCCCAGCCAGGCTTGACTTTGATTGAGACTGTCTATATCGATGCCAGTCATTGCACTTCAGTCACCCACTACCAACTGACTATTAGTCATGCAAACTCCACGTAAGTTACATGACTAAATGTCATGGACCATATCTAGATTCTAGATATATATGGGTCATAAAAAGCCCTGAAATCTAAAATATATTCTTGAGACATGGACCCTGAAATGTCACACAAAAATTATAATGTCTGTGTCACGCCCCCAAAATATATTTTGCAAGTGAAATGCAGTAAGGATATATTTTTGGTGAGTGGACCCTGAAATGTCACTGTCACACCTTAGAAATATATTTTTGCCCTGGCTTGGCCTTAGGATATATTTTGGGAGACAGATGTGGTAAGGATATATTTTTTGGGTCTGTAGGGGTGTCAGGGGTCCTAGTTTCACCAAAAAAACTTGTGATTTTTTTTGCTGTCTGGGATATATATTCTGGAAGATTCTGCAATGATTTCCAGGGGTTTTGGCAGTATGTAGGTAGCAATAAGGGGCATCAATAGCATCTGTGACCTACCTGAGTAGTTGCTTGCATATTATCCACTTTGACACTATAGATACAGTTTGCACTATGAAATTCTTTAGCTGCCTTGAAACACCCTCTGAGTTGACAAAGTCCTTTGATCTTTCTCTTCTTCTCTGTTCAGTTGGAGGTCTTTATTGTCCTCCACTGATTCCTGCCGGAATCTGGCGGAATCCGGGCTATTCCTGGAATTCCGGAGGAATCAAATTTGGCAGAGGGCCCTGCCAAATTGATCAAACCATTCCGGCGGAATTTTGATGGAATTCAAATTCCGCCAGAATGGTTCCAGGAATCACCCGGAAGGAATGATCCCGGAATGAGACAGAACGGAATTCCTGACGCCCAAATCAAGTGTCGGCATTTGCCGACGCTTGATTTGGGCGTCATCAACAAACAACTCCCACTCTCTCAACCACCACCATCATCCACGACGCCAACCCACCTCGCGACACCGCCACATCACCAACGGCCACCACGACGCACACAACGACGACGTCCGTCGTCGTTTCACCACAACCCCAACACAACACCACGGCCACGACACGGAAACGACGCCCCAACGCCACGTCACCAGCCTCAGTAAACGAGCGCGCCAACACGTTGCCACGTCGCTATCAGCGACGTGGTAACCAGACGACGAACGACGACTTGCCGTCGTTCGTCGTCATAGGTGAGCACCCCCCATCCCAAGCTCATCCCACCCAGCCTGCTAACACCAGGCACACGACGAGGGACAACCACGTCAACGCACGACCACGACCACCACGCCCACAGACGACGACACGCCTCACCACGTCAACGGAGGGCCACGCCAACAAACGACACGCCCACGACGACACCACCACCACGTCAACGGGCGACGACCGCGTCAATGGACGCCCACACATTAGTGGACGACGAGCGACCACCGCCACGTCAACAGACGACGACGACGAAGCCAACGGACAACGACGAAGCCAACGGACAACGACGAAGCCAACGGACGACGACAACGCCAACGGACGACGACACCAACGGCCAACGACGACAATGCCGCCAACAGACGACAACGCCAACGGACGACGTCGACGATGCCAATGGACGGCCACGTCAACGACGACGAGCGTGTCCCGCTCCACCACGTACACACGGCGACAAGTGTTGTCCCTCCCCCTTTTCTTTCCCTCCCCCCTTCCTCCTTTGCTTTTCCCTTCCCCTGTCCCTCCCCATTTCCATGTACCCCTTTCCTTTCTCCTCTCTCTTTCTCTGTCTGTCCCTCCTCATTTCCCTGTCCCTACTCCCTTCCTTTTCCCTATCACCCTTCCCCCTTCCCTTCCCTGTCCCTACACCCTTCCCCCTTCCTTTTCCCTGTCCCTACACCCTTCCCCCTACCTTTTCCCTCCCCCTTCCCTGCCCATCCCTTCCTTCCTCCACCCCCATTTATTTCTGCCCCCCTCCTCCCCCCCTTCCTTTAACTTAGAATACAGTAAAATAATCTTTGTGTACCACTTCAATATATTAGAATTTGAATCTATATAACTGTTCTAAGAAGAAACTTGTGAGGTTATTATAGGACAAGATATAATAATAAATTGGCTGACTACATTAGACTTACAATAAATATGATAGGCATGAAGTCACATAGACTTGGGTTTGGATGAACAACATGCAGAATCTAATGTCTCTGAATCTGATTGAAATAAATAAATCCATGTAGTAGTAAGTAACTAGTCAGATGCCTTATGCCCTTGTTTAGTAAAAGATTTAGTGCTACAATTCTATTTGTCTGACCTAAAGAAGGAGATTCAGGGTCCAAAATTAATTAACCAGAAGTCCTAGTGTTCAATTTCTGTTGATTCCAGTTGGATTCCTGTCGATTCCGGCCGGAATCCTGTGGAATTCCAGGATTCCGGCCGGAATCAGTGGAGGAATGGAAAGTATTGTTCAGTTGCACAGTTCACCAACATCTGTATTACCATCAAGTTGGCAAAGTGCTTTGATCTTTCTCTTCTTCTCTCTCCAATTGCACCATATCTGCATACCCCACCCACATCTGTATTACCATCAAGTTGGCAAAGTGCTTTAGTCTTTCTTGTCTTCTCTCTCCAATTGCACCATATCTGCATACCCCACCCACATCTGTAGTAACACAAACTTCACTAAGTTCTTTATTGCTTCTCTCCTTCTCTTCCTTTTTTCCTCTCCTCCTCTTCTTCTCTCCCTGTGTTCACCCATCTATCTCTTGAGTTTTGATTGTAAACTTATGGACCATGAATTCTATTCACCATGTCATTGTATGGAGTCACATCTATCTTTCCACTAAATCCTAACCAAGATCTTTTTTCAACCATATTATGAATCCAGATACATAATTTCTGAACTGTATCATGAATATATTGATTAGAAAGAAGCTGAACCCAGATTCTTTCAACTATATCTTGAACCAGAATATATTTACCACAAGATATTGAACCAGGGTATGTTAACAATATATATTCTGAAGCTATATCTTGCACAAGGATATATCTTTCAACTTGATCCTGCACAAAAATATATATTCAACAAGATATCGAACCAGAATACATTACCAAGATATATTCTTTAGCTATATCTTGAACCAGGATATATCTTACAACTTTATCTTAAACCAGGATAATAACAAGATAAATTCTTGAGCTATATCTTGAACAAGGATATATCTTTTCACTTTATCATGAACAAGGATATATCCTTCAGCTTTATCTTTAACAAGGATATCTCTTTCAGATTTATCTTGAACCAGTATATATCACCAAGATATATTTGTAAGATATATCTTGGACACAGATATATCCTTAAACTTTATGTTAAACAGGGATATATTATTAAGCCTTATCTTGAAGCAGGATATATTATCAAGATATATTTTTGAACTATAAAATGAATCCAGATATATTTCAAATCAGGATTCATTTATTTCCAATATCCTAAGTCAAGATAAATCTTCGAAATATATTTTGAATATTATTAAGCTTTATGTTGAAGCAGGATATATTACCAAGATATATTTTCCAACTATAAAATGAATCCAGATATATTTCAACCCAGGATGCATTTCTTTCCAAAATATCCTAAGTCAAGATAAATCTTCCAAATATATTTTGAGTATTTGTTATGCAAGCATAATATATATCCTAAGTCAAGATATATCTTCAAAATATAATTTGTGATGTAAGCATGATGAAAAACGAGTGATCGAGTGGGTTAATAGAGAGTCAACCAAGTGACTTAATCGAAACTGAGTCAAGGATATTAATATGTAAGAAAAGAGTGGAGTTGAAACTGAGTGAAGGATATTAATGTGTAAGTAAAGAGTGGAAGGATAGGCATGGGTAAAGACAGTGAAGGAACAGCCAACAAAAACCTGTGTATTACTGCAATCCCAAAAGTTAGATCAAGTAAAGCATGGCATAAAGGACTTACAAAGGACTATAGGAAAGGGAATTGACAGAGCAAGGTGTGTAGGTGGACAAAGGCAAAAGGAGGGGGACACAGCCTAAAACCACCAAGTCAGATTGATGAAAGAACATTATAAAGGACTTACACAATGATGTATGGACAAAGGCAAATCAGGAACACAGCTACAAATGAACCAGTCAGATGCATGAATGGACATAAGTAAGGACTTAGGAAATACCCAATGAGCAGGAAAACAACCCAAGAAAAAGAAGTCCAAAAGGACTTAACATATAAGCAATGACCTAGGGAGCAACTGAACCTTGAGAGTTCTTCCTTGGCCCAGCATGTTTGCCTGAAACGCGAGCATGACCCGAAGTACTAGCGAAAGGCTGAGATACTGATCAAGATGAGGAGGCAACGTGAGCTGAAGAACTAGCGAAGGGTTGAGAAACTGAACGAGACGATGAAGCTGGTGTCTTCTGGTTCTTGAGTGGGTCAAAGAAGGAGATTGGGTGTTCAGCTCGTCGAAGTTTGGTATAAAACATGTTATCGGGAAGGGAGGTGAAGGAGACGTGACGTTGGCGTTTAGCAGGACATTCCACTTCTGGTTGTTTCGGCAGACAGCGGTACTCTCTTGTGGACCTATGCTTGAGTTCTTCTTCAGGCGAGGCCATGGCGGTGTCATGTGATCGTTTCTTCGTGGACAACGCTGGAGACGAAGGGAAAGAACTGACAGGCGAAGATGTATCACCTTTCCGATCACGCTTCTTCATTGGGGCCGAAATGGAGCAATTGCCATGGACCCATTTGCTCGAGTCTTTGACGAAGACCATCAGAAGACCTTCAGAGTTAATAATGACGGGGATCTCACCGAAGCAAGCTTCACTCTCTTGGATTAGTCTTTGCTCTAAAAAAACAACTCAGACAAATGTAAGTCAACAGAAAATTATAGAACTTACCGTCTGACCAGGGCTTCACCACCAAGAGCTTCTTTACAATCAGAGTCGATAGGTGCTTCCATTGAGAGCTCGTGATCTTCATAGGTGCAAATCCCGGGCAGAACACTATGTTGACCATGGCAGAATCCCATCCTGTGATAACAAGTTTGAATTGGTAGGCGAGATTGGGCCACGTGGTCCAAGGGGCCGACTTGTGTCGATCCTTTTCAGCCAAACACCCATCTGAATACCATATCAATAACGGTTAATGACTGAACAAAACAAAAATATTACTCAAAAGATCAAGAAACAATTGCGTGAATTGTTTCTGACGTTCCTTCATGCAAGGTAGCACATCGAGCCACATTGAGTTCCTCCATCGACTGCTTAATTTGCTGGTCCGCATGCATAGCGCTATAGCAGTACAAGTAAGAAAAAAACCCATAACATGAAAGAGGGACAACACACCGGACTCTGCTAACAAAGATGTCCATCAAGGTGGGAATTGGCCACTCCTCACGGGTGCAGAGTGCTTGAAGGTCCTCGGAACTCATGAAAAAACCCGTCTTGTTCCGCGCCGTAAGATTTTTGCCGCTGTAGACCAAGATGCCAGCAACGTCGAAAGATTTGTCACGACATTTGATATTGGTGATCTGTAAAAGTGGTGTATGTAAGAAGATTGTGATGAACAAACCAATCAGACTTACAAGGTCGCGAATTTCCTTCATGTAAGACGCGAAGCGAAGGTTCGCGTCACGGACATTAGTCCCTTCTTCGTTCACTTGATTCTTGATGAAACTAACAGCCTCCTGGATCCGTTCATCTTTCTCTTCTTTTGTTGTGGCTCCTTCCATAAGCTTCTTGTACTCCTCGTTCGTGGCCCTGTTCCAGAGCTGGAGGCCTTCTACAATCATATTATATGAGGAAGCGGGTTCAAGAAGGTAAAACGAAGACTAACCGTGATCCCCCTCCTCTGGTTTCATCCTGCTAGCATATATTTTGAACATATTGTACCAGTTTGGAGCCCTCTTCTCCTTGCGCAAAAGACCTGCTTTCTCCATGGCAAATTCGGAAGAACGGCCATAGAGATGGCCCAACCTATGTGCGACTTGCCAGACGATCTGGCCGAACATTGGATACAATGCCGTTTCCAGGAGTGAAGGCTTTGTCAAAGACAGCTCGTCAAGATCCAGCAGCAGGGCATCGGGCATCAAGATCAGTCCATAGCTGTTCAACACTGAAACGGCGTCCAGCTGGGAAGGTGTATATGACACCCTTAAGTCCTTCCAGTGGGCGTCTGATGAGGTCGGGATCTTGCCTTCTTTTTTCATCGTTGATAACAAAATGCGAGCAGCTTTGGATTGCACTTCTTCCAGCTCGTCAGTCCTGGGGGTCGTGTGGGGCCATGTAACCCGCAGGGAGCATAAGGTATGCCTGTGTGTCGTTATCCCACATTTCTGTATGCCTATCGGCAGCGTTTTGGGCACCTTCTTGAGGTAAGGAGCCTTGGTAGCGAATGTAGCCCTCCTCCCAGGGCTTTCGGAACTTGTAGGCCACCTCTTCCCCCTCGAGGCCTGCTACCAACGCTGCCTCTTCCCCCTTCGAAATGTCATAAACGTGGAGAGGGTGGATCTCCACCAGTAGCTGTTACTTTCATATATGAATAATGGATACTTTGCCAAAATGCATCTTATATCAGAATGGGTAGTTGTCCAGTGGATAGTTTGCCAAGGGGACAGTTTACCAAAAGGTAGTTTACCAAGAGTCATGACGTGCCATTGGTGTAGGCTGTACATAGGGTGTGCTGATGAGCTTGGGGTCGTGCTCACTGTCGGTGACGACGTCGGGCATTGTTTTCAGGGTCCAGGGCGCATTTCCAAATAAGGAAATATGCACTTTTCCAAATGAAAAATAGCAATAAAATAGGGGAAAAATCAGAAAAAAATGGGGGATGGTGCTCACTGTTAGTGACGACGTCGGGGGCTGTTTTCAGGGTCCAGGGTGCATTGCCAAATATGGTAATATAGCCAAGAATAGCCAGAAAATAGCCACAACTTGTGCATGATGTCAAAAACTGCTGCTGCAGCACTGGCAATATGATGGCAATCCTTCAACCTCATCCCCATAACATAGATAGGTCCAAGGACACCATAAACTACATGTCAACTACATACTTTTTTAAATGAAAAAGCGGACACTACAAACTTTTGTAGTCTCAAAAAGCGGACACTACAACCTTTTGTTGTTTCAAATAGCAAACAAGACACTTCAGTCACCCATTTTTGGGTACCTATGAGGTACATCAATTCCTTGATTTAGGGTACCTTGGGGGTACCCATTCCAGGGTGGTATATGAGCTCCATACCAATACCATGGTACCATGGAATGGAAAACCCATACCATACCCCACTCATACCAATACCATGTCACCATACCATACCATGTCCTGTTATACCATACCAGATGGTATGATGGCACTTCATACCATCATACCAAAGCTGACATAGGGTGTCTGGGGTCCTTTTCCAAAATATATAAATTATTTCTGCAGGCTACAATACTGGTCCATTGGGTGCCATTTTTTGTGGGGTGGTTCTCCAGGTTTTTCCTGAGATATTAGGCTACAAATTGAGGCCAGATAGCTTTCACATGCATCCAAAGCCATTTAATGATACATATCTTTCCCAATCCTGTCTATTAGAACAATATTCATCCAAATCAAACAAAACCACATCTATTGTGATGACGTGGTCATGGAGAAGAAAAGAAAAGTGGAAATGCTTTCAGGTTTTTGCTAAGATTTCCAATTCCAAGTGGAGGCCAGATAGTCAACTCCAACCTTTAAAAATCAGTTCAATTGAGGGTTTTTTCATTCCTGAAAAGCCATTAATATGAATGCTTTCAATAATAGGTTAAATATATTTTGCCCAGTAGGGCCAATCAGACAGTCCTGCCTACTTACATAGCATACACATATAGTATGGCCAACAACACCATCATATAATCTCAATTTTCTTAAAAACTACATATAATCAAGTATTGTTGTCCTGAGTGTTTGGCCAAAGTCTTCTTTGTCATAATATTTGGTCCAATTTATTGAAGCTGAGTGAATCTGTCCAATCCAGAGTCTTGTCAGAGTCTTCATTATCAAAATATTATACCATGGTATTGTAATCCCTTGTTGCACTCTCATACCATACCATACCATGGTATTGCACCCTCATACCATACCATACCATGGTATTGCACTCCCATAACATACCATACCATGGTATTACACCCTCATACCATACCATGGTATTGCAATCCCATCCCATACCATACCATGGTATTGCATTCCCATACCATACCATACCATGGTATCACACTCCCATACCATACCATACCATACCATGGTATTGCACCCTCATACCATACCATACCATGCCATACCATGCACCCTCATACTATACCATGGTATCAGGAACCATAATCTATTTTTATTTAGGCAGAGGAAGGCAGAAAACCCTCATTTCGAAGTTTGTTTACATATATTTACCAATAGCTTTGACTGAAGTGAGGCTAAAATTTTGTAGTGTCTGCTTTGATGTGTGCACTATTTCCTAATTGGGAAAAGTGTTACACTTTTTTCTGCCATACCCAGTGCACATTTAGGTTGGGAACTGTTTCCCACGCTCTTTGGGCCACTGGAGTTAGTGGCTAGCTTGTTGTTGTCATTGTTCATGACTATGTCTGCACTATTTCCAAATTGGGCCATTTCCTAATTGGGAAAAGCGTTACACTTTTTTCTGCCACACCTAATGTCAGGCACAGTGCACATTTAGGTCAGGAACTGTTTCCCACACTCTTTGGGCCACTGGAGTTAGTAGCTAGCTTGGTGTTGTCATTGTTCATGACGATGTTCGGTTGAGGGTTCAATTCTCTTCAGTGCAATTATTTATTTTACTTAAATATAGTAAGGACACTATAAATACTATGTTTATATGTATTCTAATGGTATACTGGTCTTCCATGGAATCCATATGGACTGTTCCATGGAATCCCTATGGAATAGTACATGGATTTGCAATTGAAATTCATTAGAAATTCCATGGAATCCTCATGGACCAGTCCATGGAAACCATATGGAATGAAAAAATGGCTGGGTTGCCTGCCAAAAAATTGTCCATATGGATTCCATGGAATGGTGTTGGAATCCACCCATTCCATATGGAACATACCAGGGAGTGTAAAGACCTCGATAATTTCTTACATTTCAGCCTGCACATGTCCTCCTTTTATACTATTCTATGTTATCTATTTATATTTACATGTCCATGCATTGTTGGACAAATTAATTTTGGTTTTTAGTAAAGGTTTTTAGTGGCTAAGTTGTGTGTGGCACAACTGGACTGACTTCTTTTAAGTTTTCGTAGTGTTTTCTCTCTTGGGAGGAGGCTCTGGAATATTCTTCAAGGCCGAACACTCCTGGGTCAATGACGTGATGATGCCCATGATGCATATCACCACATGATTTCTTTGATCATGCTTCGTAGCCTGTGACTAGTTGCCTTCTTATGTTGGGAACATGTCAAGTTATACACTCAAGCGTTACTCATTGAATTACATTGTTTAATCCATATTAGCAATAAACCCTGGTTTGGTGTAAACTCCAACACTCTGTGCTGAGGTGTGTTTACTCTACAACACTTTTACAGTCAACTATTGGCAATGGGACCAACCCCAATTGGGGCAACTGCAACAGAAAAAAAGACTGGACCATGGACCAGTTCAGTTCGGTCCACTGGCTTTTTGTGGTCCTATGGACTGACCCTTTACAGCTATTTGCATAAATGATGGCAGTAGGGCGAAAATAGAAATACATTATATCTATGACGCACTTAGAAAAATTTGAGCATTTTCACTGCTTTCCACTTGTCTCACTACCATGGTCTACTGCAAAATATCGCCTGACGTGAAATTGGCCGCCATCAAGCTATATGAAAAGAATCTTCTTTCTCTCAACGACATTCTCGACTGCTGTGGACTCTTGGAGCGAACCTTCTGGCGTGTATGCAAGCTCTATCAGGAAACCGGTGACATTGTGCCTCCCACATGCACAACGCGAGGTCAGCCGAAAAAACTACACTTCGACGATGTAACAAGGTCTTTACCTTCCCCGGTATAATCCATATGGAATCCATGGAATCAATGTTGGCTGAGGACACAGCCAGTTTCTGATTCCCTGGACATCATGGATTCCATATGGAATGATGCTGGAATGGTCATGGAATGATTAATTCCATATGGACTCCAACACCATTCCATATGGATTCCATCAGATTCCATATGGAATGCAGGCATATCCACATGTATTCCATGGAGCAGTCCATATGGATTCCATGGAAGGAATTAATGACTATTATACCATTAGAATACAGTGTCCTTATTATATTTAAGTAAAATAAGTTTTTTTACATCTCAAGGAATTGAACTCTCAACCTCGTGAATGTAAGCAGCGCTCAAGCTGACTGAGCCATGAAGGCATTATTATATGAGAAACCAAAGGTATATATATACCGCTTATAGGCACGTGCCACATCAAACGTGACAGCTGTGGCTGAAGCGTTGCCACATCATTCCTTCCTTCCTACCACCACCATCACCATCCACCACCACCGTTTCAAACCACGACCACCCACAACGTCGACAATGACACTGATGCTGACGACGCGTGACCAGGGCCCAGCCCAGGTAAGTGGGAACAACCACCCCACCCACTCTCCTTTTTAACACAAACCACAGGTGCCACGTCGCGACGTGGCAACCAGACGGCGAACGACAACATCGGTCGTCTTTCGCCGTATCTGCTCAGCCACGAGGACCCACCACCACGAACAGCCCACCAACACACCACACCAACATCAACAAGCGCCCACCACCACGAGCGCCCACCACCACAAGCGCCCACCAATGTCAACGACCCCACACCAACGACGACCAGCGCCCACGAAAACGACCGCCCACGGACATCCAGCGACCGCAAACGACGTCCCCGCCCACGAAAACGATGTCCACCGCCCATGAACGACGCCCCACCGCCAACGATGTCAACCACCCATGAACAATGGCCACCACCAACGACGTCCAATGCCCACCGCCCACCAACGACGTTCCCCGCCCACGAAGACAATGTCCGCCGCCCGCCGCCCATGAAAAACATCCCCCGCCCACGAAACAATGTCCGCCGCCCATGAAAAACGTCCAGGGGATCCTCTAGAG